ACACACATACACATACATACACACACATACACACACACACATATGGGAGAGGTTTTGTCGCTATTTCTCATGAAGGGGGGACTTGCTCCCGCTTGTGACTGCTTGCTGCAATTGCTTGCTTAATGCTTGTCATCCAGAGAGACCAGCAGTAGTGGTAGTAAAGTTCTTGTCTCACAAATCGGTTTTTTTTTTTGCCTGTTTTGTTCAACCTTCGCTTCACTTTACCTCGTCTAGTTCGCATTGTCTCCCCTTCTTTCCCGTTTTCAAGATGTCTACGCCCGACATATCATGTCCAGGAGGATTTGAACTGTTGATTTATACCCTCAGTTCACTGTCGTTTAGTTCCTACTTTGTTGAAGTTGTTTGTATATAGTCTCCCCTATTTCCCGTTCTCTTTGAAGCTGTTTGCCCCTAAAGGCTAAAGTATCATATCCAGGAGGATTTGAGCTGCTGATTTATATATCAGCAATTGCATGCTCGTATACCAATGAGCTATGAGACAGGTATTTTGTTTCCTTGTCCTTTGTCCGCGGCTCTTTCTCTTTCTTCTCACTGCTATTCGTCTTTTTCTTTTTTTGCTTTTTTGTGTTGGTGCCGATCTGCTCTCTTTTTTCTTTTTTTTTGGCTCCTAGCCGTGCTGTAGTGGTCTCGGCCCACTACTTGCCAAATGCAAAATGAAAGTGAAATTTCTGCTAGAACATGGAAAGATACACCGCCATGTTTTTTTTTTGGGGGTCTTTTGCGCATGTGGTGGGTAGTGGAGCGAGGCCCGTAGTTGCCACGGACATCAATAGGAATTCATGTATGAAGTAATTAATTAATTAATTAAATCACTTACTGTTCACCCACGCTACGAATTGATTCATTAACTAATTAGGTCTCTGTAGTCCGATCAGTCAGTCGATGGCTGTTACCCACACTGGCACCGTTCTCAACCAAGTGTTGAGAGCCTCATCCTTCTTATCTTCTGAGAAGGTTGAGGGTGGTTTCAATGGGGTTTTGGGGTACTAAGGTTGTTGCTGTCCCGCTGGTGGGGCAGCCTGCTGCTGTGGTGTAGCTCCATCCGCTGGACCAGAAGAAGTAGAAGCAACAGTCTCTGCTGCTGTGCTGCTGTTGTTGAAGTACCGCCTGGTGTGGTACCATCTTGAGGCGGATACGGGCCTGCCATCGCTGACAATGGCAGCGGTGGCAAAACTGCTGGCCTGAAACCTGGCCTGTGCATGGCGTGCAGGATCTGGTCTAGGGTGTTCTGGATAGCGTCCAGTTTGCTGTCCATGTAAGCGTGCATGGACAGGGTGCTCGCCTTGAGAATCTTTGTGGTGTTGTCAAGTGTCGAGTCATCTACTCCCTCTAACGCAACTTTGTCTGCCTCTCTTCCCTCAAGTCTGACACTTTTGTTCCTAATCTCATTCTTTTTTTCAGTAGCCTCCTCGAGTTCCTTCTCTAACCTTAAGCGGATCAACTCCACTTGCAGGAGTTTTATTTGTTCCCTGGTGCATGGAGGAGGCTAGCTAAACTGCGAGCCCGCCATCTGACTGGTTCCGGATCCTGACGTATTGGAGATGGACTGTGCGTTGGTCTGTGGCATACCAAGCGACTGACCAGGCGAGGTTGCTGCAGAGGTAGCCATTGCTACTGCGCTAGCTGCTGCTGCTGCTAACGTTCTTTCCACAACTGCTGCTGCTGCTAACGTTCTTTCCACAACTGCTGCTGCTGCTAATGTTCTTTCCACAGCTGCTGCTGCTTCCCTTGTAGTCTCTAGAGTATGGGCCCTTGCTTCAGTCCTTAATCTTCTTTCGTCTCCCAGTAACAGAACCTGGAACACTACAGGTATCCTACGTGTATCATGCCGTGTCTGCCTTCTGTTGTCAGCTGTACCTTCACCACCTTCTGATCCACTCATCGGCTAGGCAGACGCTGTCTGCACTAGTGTCCTCTCTGGAACATACCACAGCATGGGTCTGGTCGGTTCTAAAAATGAATAAAAATAAAATAATGTCCGGCAAGTCAGCTGATTTACTGTTCAAGCGGTATCAACATCATTCACACAGACTGGACACATAATCTAAATCTACTTTGATTAGTTCACTTACAGCAACTTCGAAGAGAACTGACTATGGTAGAACATTACAGTCCTATTCCAAGCTGGCTGTGAGGTGTTAGCAGTCTGTCAACCAACTAATCAAAATAAAAGTAAACTATGTGAGCAGATGTATGCACAATGGGTATAGTTGTGTTTCCCAGTTGAGTCTCAATTGGAATATTCCTCCCCTGTATCCAACGTGCATGTAGGCATCATCGAGCAGCAGCGTCTACGGTGTGCATGAGCGGCCCACCCCTGTGCCCAAGGCATATGCTTATGACCAGAACTGCCCGTTCTTTATCCTCGCGTGCAACAAGCCTTATGTCTAACTGATCTGACTGATCAAGAGGCACAACCCCCACGGTCCTCAATAATTATTTAACGTCGCAATCAGGACAGCGATCACAACCAGTGGACAGTCCAGACCCCCGCCATAAATATTTATAGACGGTCCGGTTAGTGTCTGCATAAAAGACTGGTCAG